TCTTCGCCTGACATACTTTGGACATGTTGTAAGGAGAGACGGGTCTTTAGAGAGGGACATCATGCTGGGTAGAGTGGAGGGACAGTGCAGGAGAGGAAGACCCTCTATGAGGTGGATTGATTCAGTGACTGGGGTGATCGGGATGGGTGTGTCAGAGGCAATGCGGTTGGCGCAGGATAGAGCAGGGTTTAGGGCTGTCGTACATAGGGTCGCTATGAGTTGCAAATGACTCGACGGCACATAACAACAGCAACTCAGATAGGAAGCCCTCGTGGCCCAGTGAGTGGTAAGAAGCTTCAATAAACCTGCAATACCAAGAGGAAGCAGGTGGGGTCCACCAGCTGCTCCACAGAAGGATGGGCAGTCTCCTCCCTTGCAGTTTAGACAGTGGGGATGTTCCAAGAGGCAAAAGAGTAAACCCGCAAGTGGGTCTTCCTTCCCAGTTCGAATGGTATATTTTCAGGTCTCATCAGATAAGCACCTACCCTGGGGGCAGATAACTCAATAAACACAAAAGTACTTGTACTTAATTTTTTCTTTTTTTAATATGTAATTTTTTAATTTGTTTCCATGTAATAATTAGTATACATTGTGTTTCATTCAGGTACACTATGTTTTATACAATCTTTCATTTACATTGTGTTTCACACATTCACATACGTAGTATTTTATATCATTAATTTCTACTAATCTATGTTTATTATTACCCTGTCTTTTCAAGTTCTCATTGAATCTTTCCTATTCCTTCACCCCACCCCATCTGCTCGCTAAACTCTGTTATCCTAGTGATTTCCACCCTTGCCCACCTATCCCATTGCTAGGAATATACCCCAAGGAAATGAGAACTGAAACATGAACAGAGAAAATGTACACATACCTTCATAGCAGTGTTATTCATAATAGCAAGAAAATGGAAACAGCCTAAATGCCCATCAGCAAACACATGGATGGGGAAATTGTGGTACATTTATACAATGGAATACTATGCAGCACTAAAGAGCAATGATTTTGTAAAATACTACATAACATGGGAGAGTCTAGAGGAAATTATGCTAAGTGTACTAACTCAGTCTCAGAAGTACAGATACAGCAAAGGCCATTATTGTAATAATGATGATAACTGAACAACACGGGTGCATATGCCTTATTACTCTTTAGTAAACTGTTCCACATTTTTTTCACCACATCAAAGATTCTGCTTCCAGGGATGGCTGCCATCGTTTGGCTCCATAACACCCTCCTACAGAATCAAAGCCTTTTTTTCCAATTCCTAATCCACGACATCAGTCTGGAGACTAAGGTGCACCTGATCCAGGCCATACTCTTTGCAGTTGCTATGCATCAGAGAGCTAGACAATGACTAGGGATGACAGAAAGAGAATTGATGCCTTTGAGCTGTGGTGCTGGAGAAGAGTGTTGAATATAGCATGGACTGCCAGGAGAACTAACAGGTTTGTGTTTGTCCTGGAGAGGGTGAAACCAGGCTGCTCCTTGGAGGCAAAGATTCTGAGGCTTTGTCTGACGTATTTTGGGCATGTTGCAAAGAGGAACCAGTCCTTGGAGAGGGACATCATGCTTGGAAGGGTAGAGGGACAACACAGAGAGGAAGACGCTCGATGAGATGGACCCATTCAGTGACTGGGGTAATGAGGTTAGGTGTGTCGGAGACAGTGAGGTTGGCACAGGATAGAGCAGGTTTCAGGTGTCGTATAAGCGATGTGATGGCACATAACAACAACAACCCATAACAGGGGCAGAGTATCCAATAGCAAGGTGAACATGGACTTGCTCATGCTTGCTTACTAATCTACAGTTACTAATCTATAATTTCCTATGTATTTAAATATGGTGAACCCATATGAGATCATTCACTACAGCAAATAAGCACCAGTAGCCCATGCTTACCATGTTTTTTGAATAATCTGCCCCTGTCTCTTCCCCTCCAGGACTCTGGGCTCTCTGTGAGATGGCCAGCACATCACTCCTCTGGAATAGAATGTCCTGATGTCTCAGGGTTTTCTCAGACACGCGGCATTAATACCTCAGATCCTAAGTTTGCAAAAAAATCTAGGAAAAGTAGAGTGTGCACTTCTTTACATTGTTGTTGTTGTTGTATACCGTTGAGTCAGAACCAACCCATAGCTGACCCTCCTGCAGGTTTTCAGAGGCAGTTAATCACACAGGAGGAGATTGCCCATCCTTCTCCTGCAAAGTAGCTGGTGGCCTCAAACCACATACCTTTGGGATTGCAGTGTAGCTCCTTGCCAGTAGACCACCAGGGCTCCCTCTCTTTACTATACCAAATCATAAACGAATACTGCACGAAATTCTCCAACACAGTGAAAAGCAGGGTGTCAAGAATGAAAACCAAACGAGGAGAGACCAGGTGACAGGTTAGCCCACAGTCTGGTCTCTGTGTTTTTATCTGAGCCGTTTCCAAACATGGAGAACTAATTAAAACTGAAAGGACAGCGCTTCTAGTCCATTACCTTTCAGAACCTTTAGGCATCCCGGAATAATTGTGTGAAAAATCTCGCCTGCTCAACTGAACACCTCTAATTTTCTTTTGAAAACCTTGATGTTTTATGTAAATCTCACTTTCAGGAATTTGTTTTACATTAATGAAATTCATCTTCAGTAAGCTGTACCATTGCTGCATGTTAAAGCATCACTCAGTGTCACACCCAACACTTCCCCTTCTTCCATTTCCCCTGCCCACCCCCCACCCCCGCCCCAGAACATGAATATGTTTGCATCTCTGAAGGATGACCATCAGCTATTTGATGGCTGTCACCATCTCCCATGGTCATGGTAAACAAGACTTAGAACTTACAGCTTTATTTTGAAACTAGAGAAATTGGAAATCCCTGTCTGCCTTTCGGGGGACCCAGCAGAGCACTACCAAGCAAAGCTGGTGATGACTTGAGCACCAAGTGTAGGCAGTTGGAAAAGCTCCACCTTTTTCGTGCCATGATGGTCAGAGATGTCTCCCATCCTCCTCCACCATCATTTGTTGGTGAATTACTAATGTCTGAGTCTGACTCATCCTGGGAGGCAAACACAGGCTCAGTGTTCTTTGCGGGGAAGAGCTTGGCTTGCTGCGCCAGGTTCAGTGTCTTCAGTAAGCAGTCGTGTTGTCTGTAGAGCTGCTACATCTTGACAAGTCACTCAGAGTAGACAGACACAGCCTTTGTCAGACCAGCTCTGAATTGCAGTAGCATTTCCCCACTTGGCTCTGAGACCATGACAGTCTAGCATTGATCTCAAGTCTGATCAGTCCAGAAACTCATGGACCCCTTTCAAATGGCTCCTGACGGCCCTCTCCCTACCACCCACCATTCTAACTAGTTCAGTCAGAAATATGGGAATTGAGCTGTCCAGGCATTTAAGTGGGGATATGAGTGAGTAGAGAGGAAGGGGAAGGTTTGTACTATAAGCATAAGCAGAATACTAGTCCTTTTTTATTTTAAAAACCCTGTTGTTACTAGATGCTGTCAAGTCAGCTATGACTCCTAGCAACCCAATGAATGACAGCTCTGACCCCTGCCCAATCCTGTGCCGTCCTCGTCATCCCTGCCACACGTGAGCCCACCGTTAGGAGCACTGTGTCAGTCCATCTTGTTGACAGTCTTCTCCTTTGCTGACCCTCCATTTTCCACGTATGATGTCCTTCTCCAAGGACTGGCGTCTCCTAGCAGCATGCCCATAAAACCCCATAATCGGCCATTTATCATAATCTCACCTATCTTCTCTCAGTTGGAAGGGGGTGATTTTTCTTAAAATTGTAGCAAAAATGCAACCAAAAATCTGCCATTCAACGATCTGTATACACATATAGTGCATTGGCATGAATCAGGATCACCATTAACGGTAATACAGTTTATCACCTAAGCAGTGGTTTCCCTTTTTCTGTAATCTCCTGGTAACCACTCATACATGCTAATCTCTGTATATTTGAGTTTGTTTCAATATTATATATCTGTCTATTGCATCTTATTTAATTGTTCAGCTGTTAAAGACATTAGATTGTGTCTACCTTTGGGCTCTTGTGAAGCATGCTGCAGTGAACACTGATGTACAGATTTGGTGCAGCAATCTGAGGAAGGTTCTCTTCAGAGATCTAGCCTGTGACCAGTGTCATTCCACCTCTTGACACACTGTGACCCTGGAGGTGGTGTCATCAAGAACCTTCCTCTTGTGGGTTGGCCGGTGTTGTGTTTCTCAGCGAGCTGGGTGGAGCTGTGATTAGAAGAGAAGGGAAGGGTCAAGGATACAAATCTGGAGAAGGGAAGAAAACTAGAAAAGGAATAACCAAAAGGTTCAAAACAAGAACCCTGGCGCCAGGCACTGCTTGGTATGGCTTGTCAGCCTCCCAGAATCTCCTGCCTCTTGCTGATTTGATGATAAAATATAGAGTGGCCCCACAGGGAAAGCAAAAGCCTCAAGAAATAGATGGCTAATTGGCTCTGTTTGAATGCTCGCTGCTTTAACTGTGAGACGCTTGCACCGGCATGACTAATGCCTCTCCCCTTGGCCTAAATTAGATTTTGATTGTGTTTGGGAGATGTTCACTGAATCACAGATGTTGGAGGTAAAAAAGGCCCAGACTTCTCAGGAACACGGCCTGTGGAGCGTGTGGGATCATCCTCCCAGGCCTAGCTGAGGCTCCCAGAATTCCAAGGAAGGACCAGCAGGAACCTCCTCCATCCAGGTCCCTAGGAGCAAACCAGGAAGCTGAGGAACGGAGTGAGCCTCGTGCGGCTGTCAGCTGTGGGGTTAAGTGGGATGCCACACCTTACTAGGGCTGTAGCGTGTATGCTACATCAGTGGCTAATGACTTTTGCAGACATGAACTCGGCCCAAGGGCCCTGTTGCCTGTGGATTTTCACTGAGGTGCTGGGGTAGCAATGGAAGTTCACCTCCCCTGGTGTTCACAGTCACTCCACCCGCGATGACACACAGCGGACCCCTAGTCAATGCTTGCTCTTGTTTTCTTGCAGAACTTAGCCTACGAAATCATCCTAACCCTGGGACAGGCGTTTGAAGTCGCTTACCAGCTGGCACTACAAGCTCGGAAAGGGGGCCATTCCTCCACACTTCCGGAAAGCTTTGAAAACAAGCCCTCCAAGCCCATCCCCAAACCTCGAGTCAGCATCCGCAAGTCGGTGGTAAGTAGAAGAGAGACCCCTGCCCTCAAAACCCAACCCACCGCTGCAGAGCAGATAGAAGAGGTGCAGGTGCAGGAGGGCGAGGGGCCCGGGTGCCACCCAGAATCAGGGCCCGCCCTTCTTCAGCCCTGGCTTCGGGCTTGTGTGTCCCACCCGCAAAGCCTTGGGGGACCACGTGCCTGGACCGAGAGACCCTGAGACCAGTCCATTTTGATGAACTCTCACTTGCAGCGACCCCATGAGGACAGGCAGCGGGGATGGGTGTGTTAGCCTTAGTGAATCTTAACGTGAAGGGGCAGGAAAGGTCCCTCAGGCTTCAGGGTTGCACCCACAGCCTCTCTCTGGCCCCTGGCCTCTTGCAGACGTGCATAGGGAAGGGATCTCAGGCACCCAGGCAGAGGGAGCTCCACGCACGGGCTGCGTGTGTGCGTGCACACATATGGATGAATGTAGGTTGGTGCCCGATGCAGTGGGAGACCCGCGCCTGGCCCTGGTGCCTTCCCTCTGGCAGCCGAGGGCCCCTACAGAGTGGTGACTGCTCCCAGGGTGCAGCTCCTCCTCATCGTCATCTGTCTTCCTGCAGGAATCTCCTCCCCTTCCCTCCCACAAGCTCCACACACATTCTGTCTTAACAGGCGCGCCCACTTGAGGGAGGCTTCCCCTGGTAGTAGCAATGCCCACATGCTGGAAGGTTCCTAGCCAGCCTCCCATCTTCGAGACTCAGGGACTCGGGCGGGCCCGGCAGGCATCACCCAGAATGCAGTGCGCTGACACCCACATAGCCCCCCATCTGCAGCCATCTCCTCCTTCCCACCACCCACCCGGCCCCCCAGTGCCAGGGGGAAGTATTCTTTTTCTCTGAATTTGCAGAAAAGCATCATCGCCTTTTGTGAGCATGTGAGCTGCTTGTTTGCAGTCTTTTCTGGTGCCCGTGCCTGTCTCCATGCTTGGCAACCTCAGTGTCCACAGAAAGATCGCATCAACATCTGACCCCTTCATCTCTTCCAACTTCCAGAGCTTTTCCCTTCATCTTATCTCAGCTATTCATTCCACACGAATGCAGGTCACCTTCCAATCTCTGAACCCACACCTGCTTCCAAAGCCCTTATTTCAGACACTGATTCCCTTGTCCTCCTACCCAAGCTCCTGGGCGCCCAGCCCTACCCTTCCTGAAGAACATCAACTGGAAAGATTCCTTTTTCTCCCTGACATTCTTACTGTGGAGTATATGTACCAAACATCCAAGCTTTCTTCTGTCCAGGGCTGAATGCTTCCTTTTCCTCTTCACAGATACTTCCAGATCTCACTGCAGCCATGTGACCTATTAAAGCTTAAAATGTTGTCTGGTTCCTGTCTTTCCCAAACCCCTTTCCAGCCCACCCCTAAAATGTCTCTCGGGAACCCATTCCCATTGTCCCTGCACTAGTCCAAGCTGTCTTCACATCGCCATATTGCAGCTTACCTCCTAACTGACCGATTCACACCCAGCAACCTGGGAGATCTTAAGACATAAACCAGATCATGTCTTCCTGCCCTGACCACCTGCAGCATAATTTCCCAGCACGTTCCCCTGAGACTCTCAGTTCTTCCAGTTTCTTGAATGCAGGAAGCTCTCTCCTGAGGCCTGAGGCCCACCTGTTTCCTGCACCTGGAATATTCTCCCCGTTTCCTGCCGGCTAGCTCCCATCTTATCATTCACATTTTCAGCTCCACAAAGAGGTGTTTCTCTACCATCCAGTGTGAGGTAGATGTCTAATCAGGCTTAAGTATATCGCCTGCTTTTAATTCTCTGTGCGACCTTTATCCATTGAGCTGCTACTATCACCTGGGTCAGACCCGTTGCTAGTGTTCAGTAAATATGCATGAGTCTGATCTGTGGCCAGATTTACCAAAGATAGCTTTGTGAAGAGTCAGTTGTAAATGTTCAAGAATATCGAGGATGTTTGGGGATTATATTTTGAGTTAACTGTGTTTATTTCCACTATGGCCTGGATAAATCTATTCCTGGCAGGTGCCTCCATCTGACTTTCTCCCTGGTCCCCTCAGACTTCTTCCAGCAGAGCACAAAGGACCGGGTGCCATAAGGGCTCATAGAATATTCATCTCCCAGCCTTCACTGGGAAATGTGAAAGTCGACACCGAATACTAATGTTCTGTACCTGCCTTCAGAGCCTGGCTCTCCTTCTCAGCCCCATCAGTGTACCCTTGCCTCATGCTCCCAGTTGCTTATTGGTGAGAAACAGAAAGCAGACCCTGAATATACAAGAAGCACCTCCCTGCTTTCCAGCCAGCTTGCTCTGAAGCTCAGAGCTCAAGCAAAATAGGAGTGGCCTTCCCTTTCTGCAGCTTGCTTTGCCCTTGAATGCTGCAAAGTAGCCAGAGGCATGAATGAAGAGAGGCAGAAATGCCAGAGTGGCGGTAACTCAGAGATGAGTTCACTCCAGGCCTTTTCTGAAAGCTCCCAGCTACACCTTTGCCCCAGGAATAGAGGATTGAGCCATTTGATAGCACAGTTGAAGTTTGTCTCCTGGTGGGACCCTGTTACTTTCTCTCTCCCTTTTCTATTTCTCTCTGGGCAGACATCAGTGGTCTTCTGAGGAGAGCCACTTTCTCTTAACCCCTGGACTTTGTGCACACTGTTTCTGCCACCTCGAATGCTCACCTTTGCCAGGAATACTCTTCTTTATCTTACAGCTCTCCATTTAGCCATCACCTCATTTGTTTATTCTTTGCCAAAAAGTATTTCCAATGGGCCTACTGTTTACTGGGTTATCAGGAGTTTTTCTAAATTCTGGGAAAAGAGCAATGAACAAAACAGACAAATCCTGCCTTTGTCAGCATAAACCGTAGCGAAGGCTGAGCAGATAAAAATTATGCTATGATGTGTGGTAGGGTATAGAAAGGAGAAGAGGAGCGTGGAGTCACTAGAAAATTGAGGGGGGCTATTTTGTACAGACAAAACAGGGGTTGTCAGAGGAGGCGACTACAAGGAGGTGGTGTTTGAGCCGAGACCTAAATGGCATGAGGGCGTAAAGCCTGCAGGTATCTGGAGAAGAGCGATCCGGGCAGGGAGATGGTGAGTGCACAAAGGCCCTGGGTGGGAGCTGGGTGGGCAAGGAGCAGCTAAGAGGCGGTGTGGTTGGAGCTCACAGAGGCAGGCAGACAGCGGCCCACAGGTCCTGGTGAAGATGTGAGTGTGAAGGAAGCTGTTGGAGGTTGGGAACCAGAGAGTGACAAGACCTGGTTCTTCTCCTCCAAGAAGTGTCTGGTGTCCAACTGTGGGGTCCAGGATCTTCCTATGTTCCCACAGAGCCCAGTCCTACACCCTCTTAGCTCACTTCTCAGGACTGAAATCCATTTCTGTGTCCACTCATCACATGAGCTCCGTGCCCTTGGGGCCAAGAGCTGCATCTCATTGATAAGACCATCACCCCAAGCCCCTTCCCAGAGCCTGGGACCCTGTCAATGTGCAGACCTTCAGTGCATGGCTCAGCAGTAAAAAGAGAGTTCCCCAAAGAGAATTCCCCTGCACAAACACTGCTCGTCCACCTGGGCATTATGGGTCCTCAGGTGGGTCCCTAGGCAGGGCTAGGGTGCATGTTTGCCCATGCGTGCAGGTACCGTATAACAGGCATCAGCCTTTCTGTTTTAAAGCAGATCGACCCATCTGAGCAAAAGACTTTGGCCAATCTGCCGTGGATCGTGGAGCCGGGCCAAGAAGCCAAAAGGGGAATTAATACCAAGTATGAAACCACAATTTTCTGATACCCGCCGTCCTCCCGCCCTTGCGGTGCCTTGCACGCCAAGCAGTCCCGGAGCGGGCTTTTCCTTCGCGCCTCCGTTTCCACCCAGCCCCGGAGGAAGACCGCTCTGGTGGTGTGGCCTTGTCACAGGCGAAAGGCCGCTGACCGTTTCTGGGGAAGTTCTTTCTGCACCAGTGATAGAAAACACAACCAATACTTTCCAGCCACCACCCCTGAGAGGCAGGAGTTGAGAAATGTTTTCTCTGACACTCCCAACCCTGGTCCCCACCACCCCCCAAGGTGTTTCTCCTGACTCTGCCCCAATACTAGTTCTGCTGGCTTTGGGGTCAGTACTTTTAAAAAAAAAAAATCTAAGGGGATTTCTAATACTGCCTAAATATCTTGGATTTCTTTTTTCACTGTCAGCAGTTTTAAAGGTAAAATCAGACCAGAACGACCCCCTCCATCAAGCATCTGTAAAATCATTGTATCACTGAGTATCGTTGAATGCAAAAGGACAAAAAAAGACCCCATGATTGCCAAGAAATTATGTTTCCCAATTTCTATATTTGTGGATTTTCTATGTCATCAGTTCTGTCGGATAAAGAAAACCTTTCCATCTAACGGTTGATTCAAAATTTAAGAGCAGTTAAAAAAAAAGCAATTTATTATGCACAGGAAAAAATGTGTCTTGTATTAAATATTTTTATTAAAAGAATGTTTCATTAATGCATTGGTAAGAAAACTAGGTTAGTCGTGAGGGATGTTTTTGGTTTAATTTCAAATAATTGCATTTCTATACTAATTAGAACTGGCTCGGTTGGGGTAAAATACTGATGATGCTTAACCAGAGCTGACGTTTCGGGCAAGCAGATTGGCGTTGAACCGAAAGTGCTGATGCAGTCATCAAGCCTGCAAAGATTGTGTTTC